AGAAACCTCCGGCAGAACCAGGCTCAGGGAGGGGCGGCCATCTGCTGCGACCGGTTGGGGTGAGAGAAGAAAGACATGATAAAGACATGCTGTGGAAGAGAGACAGAGATTAATAACAAGTATGATTCAGTGCAGAGAGGTCTATTAACACATGCTGAGTAAGAAAGGTGACTGAAGAAGAAATACTCAATGCATCATGGGAATCCCCCAGCTGCCTACACCTATTGCAGCATAACTAAGGGAGGATTCAGAGTCACCTGATCCAGCCCTAACTATATGCTTTAGCAAAAAGGCAAGTTTTAAGCCTAATCTTAAAAGTAGAGATCAGAGATGGGCAGTAACGCGTTACTTGTAACGCGTTACTGTAATCTGATTACTTTTTTCAAGTAACGAGTAAAGTAAAGGATTACTATTGCAAAAACGGTAATTAGATTACCGTTACTTTCCCGTAGGAACGCTGCGTTACTGTGTTACTAAAACCGTGATTTTTTGCGAAAATGTCTCACAACAGTGACGTAAGCGAGTGCGCCGTTAGTGACAACAGCTGTGTGCAGATCAACAATGGATCACATATCGATTGTGGGAGAGAGTATGAGCGTGCAGCATTTAAGCGTGGAAGTACTGACCTTACTTTGAGTTTGATTCCATAAAAAGTGACAAAAACATTAGCGTCCATCGTGTGTGGGAAGAAAACTTCTTTTTACAGCGAAAAAAACCCCTAAACTTCCAAGCAAGCGCCGAGTGCGCTACGACGTAATGGGAAACTCACAGAGAAAGTCGCGGATTCTTCAACTGACCGCGGCACACCTGCACCAGGGTAAACCTCCGCCTACCGCAGTCCTGCTTTACAGGTGAAAATAGAGCAAAATGACCGCTGAGTCTTTGACTTTATTTATTTTCTGCTGTGTTTTACTGGCATCTATTTGAAAGAGTGAGTGTAAACACAAAAAAATATTTTATTTTATGTGCTGGAATGTGCAGAAGATAGGTTTAAATGTTAAACTAATTTATTCAAGTCAGAGAATGTTGCATATAATTAAATTTTTTGCTTGATGCATAAAGTTAAAAGATTAAAACTGATAAAACAAGTTAAAAAAGAGACTTTTCCATTTGATTACATTTTGTATGATGGATTATGTAGAAAAAGTAGAATTGGGCTGAAAGATCTATCGCTTTATCACCTATTCAGGTTGTAAATCGTGTTTTTAAAAAGTAACTTAGTAACTAAGTAATTAATTACTTTTGAAAATAAGTAATCAGTAAAGTAACGGGATTACTTTTGGGGGGAAGTAATCAGTAATTAGTTACTGATTACTTTTTTCAAGTAACTTGACCAACACTGGTAGAGATAGTGTCTGTCTCCTGAATTCAAACTAGAAGCTGGTTCCACAGAAGAGAGGCCTGAAAACTGAAGGCTCTGCCTCCCGTTCTACTTTTAAAAATACTCTAGAAATAACAACTAATCCTACAGTGTGAGAGCGAAGTGCTCTGATGGGGTGATATGGTACTATAAGGTCATTAAGATAAGATGGGGCCTGATTATTTAAGACCTTGTCTTATTTAAGAATTTGTCTCCCTATTTATCTCTGCACTGCGTCCAGCTCCTGTTTCCTTTGGATTACTCTCTTTAACACCTGTTCATGTTGGATTTTTCTATTATATAAAAAGCGCTCTGTTTAACTTGAATTACATTTTGGTGAAGATCATAGAAGTGATCTTCACCATGTTTTGGGACATGGTCCCAAAACTACCATGTCATCCTTGGTCAGTTCAGGTTGTTTCACTGAATCTTTTTGCTCACAAGGCTCAAGACATTTCAATGATGCTTGTTGCTAGCAACAGGAGATGCAGTAGTCCTCCGTATTCATTATTACATCTGTTTTGTGATATGTACTAGAACCCATGGCAACAAAACAGATCCAGAGCATAATGTTACAACCACCACGCTGGTCAGCTGGGACATTTTTCTTAGCTCTGAAGGCCTCACCTTTGCTCCTCCAAATACTCTTGCTCTTGTCGTTGTGGCCAGATAGCTTAATCTTTGTATCATGTGAACATAAAATTTTTCTCCAAAAGGCATTTGGCTTTTTCATGTTGGCGGCTGCAAATTTCAGTCAAGCTTGAAGGTTTTGGAGCAGGGGCTACTTTCTTGCTCGGCACACTCACAGTCCATGATTATGTCAGACTTGTGTCACTGTGAACAGTGAAGCTGGTGTTCCAGCAGTATCCAGCTCATGGAAGGCTTGAGCCTTGGTGGTTCCTGGGTTGTTTTTAACCAATTTCTTCTCATCAGAAGTTGACCATTTGGTTTTTCTTTCAGACCTCGGCAAAGTTGTGACAAATCAAGATAACTTGTACTTAATGTAGAGTTGTTTGAAGTGATGACTGCAGTTGTTTAGAAATAGTTCCAAACTACACTATATTGCTAAAAGTATTTGCTTGTCTGCCTTCACATCCATATGAACTTGAGTGACATCCCAGCTATAACACCTTCAACTCTACTGGGAAGGTTTTCCACAAGGTTTAGGAATGTGTTTCTGGGAATTTTGGGCCATTCTTCCAAAAGTGCATCTGTGAGGTCAGAAAGGTATTGAATGAGAAAGCCTGGCATACAGTCTTCACTCTAATTCATGCCATTGGTGTTCTTTTTCTAGGCAAGTTCTCGCACACCAAACTCATTCATCCATGTTTTTATGGATCTTGCTTTGTGCACTGGTGGGCGATCATGTTGTAGCTAGTGGGGTGAGTTGCTTTACACCACAGCATCCGATGCTTTGCATTGTGCTTGGTGATGCAAGGCTTGGGTGCAATTGCTAGGCCATGGAAACCCATTCCATGAAGCTTTTTACACACGGTACTTGAGCTAATCTGAAAAAAAAAATTGTAGAACCTTCAGCACCACATAAAAAGACTTAAATAACTGCATGTATAGTCAAAGAAATTATTAAAAGTCTAAAATGACCATAATGAGTGTAAGCAAGCTTTTAACCACAACTGTATGCATGACTGTTGGATTGGATAGTTTTAAGTAGGTGTATTTGATTAACATCAGCACCTGAGAGTATATAATTCATGTGAGAAGGATAAATAGAAGTACAAAACAAAGTAATCCACATGTCCAAATAAAGTTTTTATGTTTTGTGACTGCTACTATTATCATCCAACATTCTTTGTCTGGTAATAAGTTGGTTGTATCAGTAAACTGCGTGAGCTGTTTTTGCCATTCAATATTACCTTTTGCTAACCACAAATTAACATTGACACTGGTGTTAATGATCATCACAGTTAATAACTGTGATCCCAAGCACCCAATACTGCTTTAGAAGGGTAAGATAATTTGGGAAAGAGTGTATTCAGATGCTAATGTAATTTTATGTCGCATAGCATCATGAAACGATACAGCCATCCTTCAGTTTACTCTGAGAGGAAGTTAAGTGTCAGGATTTCGTGAGATGAATCGCTAAAGTGGGATATCTGTTATTGTGAGCATAAAGTCGTTCTGGAGGATTATGAAACCGACAGAGCTTCCTCAAGGTGAAAAGAAACCGACGTGGATGGGAGAGGGAGGAGAGGGAAGAAGGGTGAGCGAGGTCGTGGCAAGGGGATGAATATGATGATGTAGTGACTTTGTCTGGGTGGGAGGGAGGAGGCTGTGGAACTTGAGGTAGACCGATTGCAGTAGAAGCTGCCAATTAGGTGGAGTTGAGCTCTGATGTGATAAATATTGCACCGCACCAAAAATAATGATATGCAGAGAAGGTAAAGGTTCATGGTTGATGTGAGGAAAGAAACAAGATGGTGTGAGAAATGTGAAACCAGACCAAAAATAATAATAAAAAAGGCGAGAGCGGGAGGCAGTGAGACATATAAAGATGGATCAAGCGCCCACTGAAGTAGAGGAGAGAGTGATTGAGTGGATGGAGAGTGTGGAGGTGTGGAAAAGCAGTCATGATGAGATGGATTCTACTGGACCGTGAGATTGATGGCTCTGCTTAAGAAAGAGAGAAAAGAGATAGGGGAGGGTGAAGAGGGTGAGGGGAAATAAGAAAAAAGTCCAGATGAAAAGAACCATCAGGCCCCACAAGACATTCCAAAATCTTGGCTTGATAAAAGAATAAGCTGCTCTTATCGTAGGACTTCCATCTTAAAACAGAGCGCAAGAAGCATCTCTAATAGGATCTGTAGCGCTTTCTCTGGTTCGTCATGAGTTATGCACAACACAAAAATGTGTTTCCTCAGAATAAAAACAGAAGAAGGCTGTTTCGATATCGTAAGAGATTACACCTGGATCAAATAAGTCTGTTTGTGAAGGATTATGTTTTTATCTGGTTTTCTTTGAATGAATTCTGGCATCCAAATAAATATTCCATGTTATATTCATCCTTATAGCCCATGTCAGCGTGCCCAATTACAGCGTGTATTCTTAAAAGAGTTCCACAACATCCAACTAACGAAGCTCATTACAGGGCAAAATTAAGCTGCTAAGTTGGTGGTGACATTAAGGTGTGGAAAGGGTAGCTGGGGAGGGAATGGTGAATACAACCACGGCAATGAGGTTACATTTTTACCGTGAGCTCATTACACCTTCTCAGCCTTAATATCACCGTCTCCTCCTGCTCCGCCGTGACTGCTCTGATTCGTCAGTCTGTGTCTAGTTCACTGGGATGAGAGGGAGATAAACTGTTTGCAAACAGAAGATGGTCAAAGTCGAGGCAAAGTAGGGTAGTGTTTCGTGGGATATTCACTTTCTTCAGCTCACGGCGCCTCTCGTCAGAGGCAGCAATGGAATGATGTGCTGTGGCACGTTTCTGCTTGCACAGTCGCTGAGTTGATGTTATAGGCTATAATGAATAGAGAATAAAAAATTGCTGCTAAATAAGTCACACATCTGGCCTTTTCAAAAATGTAAGACACAGGATGCTAGATGTCTCACCTTGTCTCACTCCTGCTGTTTCATTATGTGGTTCTGATTTATGTCTGTTTTTCTCATCTTTTTTTAGATGCCGTCAGAAAGAGTTGAAAGTCGTCCTGTGAGCTGCGATGGAACACAGTAAGGGCATGGACATGATGAGAAATCTCTGCCATTCTGCTTTTCAATCACAATAGCAGCACTAGACTACAGAGAAGTCTTGAAATTAATGTCAGCTGTGTTGCGGAGGCAGCCTCCCGCTGCGCTGCAAGCTCTAACAACCCATGGAGGCGTGGCTTCAACATTTCCAACCCTGTTGCCACTGGTAATACCAACCAAGTGAACAGAGATGCCTTCTAAGGTTTCCTGCTTATACTTGCTGACAGTGGTATGCTGGGCCAGCGCTTTGTGGTACCTGAGTGTTTCCCGCCCCTCTACTTCCTACGTGGGCCAGGTGAACATCCCAATACGCAATACACTCAAGGTGAACAAGAACTCCACATTCAGCAACATCCGCACGCGCTCTGTCAACCCACACGACTTCGGCTACCTCATCAACGAGGACAAGAAGTGTGAGTCGGAGCCCCCGTTCCTTGTCATCCTCATCAGCACCACTCACAAGGAATTCGATGCCCGTCAAGCCATCAGAGAGACATGGGGGGATGAGAGCACGTTTCAGGATGTGCGCGTGGTCACGCTCTTCCTGTTAGGCCGAAGCACTGATGTTGTCCTCAACCAGATGGTGGAGCAGGAGAGTCAGATCTTTCATGACATTATAGTGGAGGATTTTATTGACTCATACCACAACCTGACGCTCAAGACTCTTATGGGCATGCGCTGGGTGGCCACCTTCTGCTCTAAAGCTCAATATGTCCTCAAGACAGACAGTGACATCTTTGTCAACATGGAGAACCTCATCTTTAGCCTCCTGAAGCCTACCACAAAGCCCCGAAGGAGGTACTTCACTGGTTATGTCATCAACGGTGGGCCAATCAGAGACATGCGCAGCAAGTGGTACATGCCCAGGGATCTGTACCCAGAGAGCAAGTACCCCCCGTTCTGTTCTGGCACCGGCTACGTTTTTTCAGCAGACGTGGCTGAACTCATCTACAAAACCTCCTTACACACCAGGCTGCTGCACTTGGAGGACGTGTACGTTGGTGTGTGCCTCCGGAGGTTAGGAATTCACCCTTTCCAGAACAGTGGCTTCAACCACTGGAAGATGGCCTACAGCCTCTGTCGCTACCGCAGGGTGGTCACCGTCCACCAGATCTCCCCTGAGGAGATGCACCGCATCTGGAACGACATGACCAGCAAGAAACACCTGAAATGTTAGCAGGACTGTTGGCACCAGTACAGAGTCAGCGTGGCGTTGAATCTCCTCTTACCACTTGTTTCTCTGTTGCTGGTTGTATTGGCTAATACTGAATATCAACAATGAAGCTGTCAGTTCTTTAACCATGAAGCTCTACAGTGCGAGGCCAAAGCAAACCCCTCTGTATTATCCTGCCTGCTGTCACTCCAAGTTGTTTGAGTGCTCATACATTAGGCACAAACTTGGGAAAATGCTTTCCAGAAATGTGTGAAACAATCAGGTGGTTGGCTGTGATTGCCAGAGTGATTTTATAAGACATTGCAAATCAGGAAGCTGAGGGGTTTGTGTTAAACTCCTCATTTACATGAGACTCAAACTGTCCCAAAATTGCCAACTGCAGATGGAATAAATGCTGACATGCTTGTCTGGACCCGGACGCTCTCTTCTTGGGTTCATCACAGGCTCTAATTATGAATGTTCCTCTTGTATTTTCAGCTGTTGTGCACTTCTGAATAAGGTGTTAACGTTTGGATGTACTGTTTGGCACTGCAGCAGCCACGTCATTGTGAGGACCTCGATGAGTTTACAGTGTGATGACTCATTTAGATCATATTGCTCTCCCTCTAGCAAAGCAGATTAGGGGAATTAATGATCAGAGTGTGTAGTGCTCTTTACAGAATTAGACATATTTTCTTACAAGAGACCAACAGATCTTATCGTACAATGAGGAAAGATAAAGCAACTATACAGAGAGAAGATATGGGCTGCTTGCATTCCCAAGTGAATGTAACTTCTGTTGATGTGTAATGTGCAGTTATTTGTCTCTGGCAGTACTGGCAGGAGGCTGCAGATCATTCTATTTTCTATTACTTGAACATGAAGGAGAACAGATGTACTATAGGAGCAGCAGAAGTGTATATTGAGAACAAATATTGCATTTTTGATTGCTTTCTTCTTTTCCATTACTTGAGATTAAATAAAGGCTTTTATAAGACTCCATGTTGCATTTATTAAGGCAAATAATATGAAAGTTTATATTCTTCAGATTTATACACATAACCTGGTAGTTAATATGCCTGTGAACTTGTAAGGGATCTTCTTTGGTCTCTGAAGGAAAACACTGTGGAAGCTGCAGAAGTGAAAGCCTTTCATTAGTTGTGCAGCAGCTGTGCTCCAGTCGAAGCAGATCCCAGCTCCCAACGCTTCACTGATGGGCGCAAGCTGAAATCTCGGCATGGTTCTGGAAACGACCTGCTGTTCTTTTCCATGCAGGTGAGTAGGCAGGCAGACCCTTGCAACTTGTAATTAAATAAGATGTGTAATTAGCAACTGACTGTTTTTTTTTGTTTTTGTTTTGTTTTTTTATCTGAATCAGAGGAATTACTGCGGTAGATTTATGTGTCCAAATGAACTGATCCGAAAACACTTTCTTAGTTTTCACTGTCTCTCGTTTATTCACACTGGGGAACTTAAATGTTTTTATCTTGGGGTGTGTGATCAAGTAAGCAGGTGGAACCACGCACTGCAAATTCAGTTTAATTGTAAATTCTGTTTTGTTAAAGACAGTGAAAGAAAAAAAAATTCAGGTGAATAGACAAATGTTTATTAGTTTTCCTGGCATGTTTTACTTTGACTTTTTGCACACTCACATTATAAAGGCTTAAAGTGCAAACTCACTGACTAAATGTGAAGGAAAGTTTATGCAACTCCCTCCCTCTGAATGAATCTTGGCTGTTAGATAACATGGGGGGAGGTGACCTCCTTCCTCTGAAGAAATTTACAAATACACACAAACAGTAGCTTTGACTCCAAAGATATTGAAAATTTACGCATATGAAAAACAATCTTTCAATTATGAGGCTGTGGGCTGTCAAAGAGACCAGAAAGGATGAGGTTCAGGGGAAAAGAAAATGTAGCATGAGGTGAACCAGCAGAATCCTGGGCAAATGTCTCAGTAAAGTGGGAAATTGGGGTTCAGCAAGGGTTGAAAATTAAAAGTTGCTTTAAAATTGGTAACTGTCAGCAAGTGGTCACAGATCAGATCCCTGCTTTTGAAGCAACCATTTAAAAGGCAACAAGGCAGAGAACAGTAATTTTGGTTGTGCCATGGTCTCAAACCAATATTCCCTATTTTGACTGTAGCATAAATTACATACTGTCCTTCAGATCAGTGTTTCCCAACCTTTTGGAGCCACGGCACATATTTCACATTAGAAAAATCACACAGCACACCACCAAACAAAAATGTCACAAAAAGCATATTGATCATTTTTCCCCACGCACCAGGCGCAGCGGAATTGGCTCCATTTGTCCCCAGTATACCTTTTTTGCTTTCTTCTGACCACTACTCATGCTAGGGACTTCATCTGGGTTAGAGTTTTTTCCAGGACCCGGGTCAGATTGACAATTTTTTCATTTCAAATATTTATTTATTGCTATTAAGCGCTGCGTTGTCTCACTATTATATCATTTCTTCTTAGTCTTCTTCTGTTTTTCTGGCAGTTGGCACCTTTTTATTTACAGCAGGTAGTTGTAGTGCCCTCTTGTGCAAGAGAATGTAATTGTTCTCTCCGTCACTCACGCCAGTCGCTTACAGCACTAATCAGGTGGAACCAGATAATCTTCCATGGCTCACCTGATCATTTTTCACGGCACACACGCCGCAGCACAATGGTTGGGAAACACTGGTTTAGACAATATGTAATTTATGCGACAATAAATACTGTAAAGTAATAATACTATAAAGTTACATCTTACATAATCACATATGTCAAAATCAGTTTTTAACTGATGCTAAAACATTAAAGAAACGATATTAAAAATCAGTGCAGGAGGGCGAGCTGCTATCAGTCGTATCGCAACGTCTGACGTAAATCAACATATCTTTACATTGTTTGGAGAGAGTGAGTGAGACATGATCCTGATACACTTTGCTTAATAGGTACTATGTGGGAAACGCTACAGACAAGTCACCAAGTGATTCTGACTCCAGAGTTCAACTATTAGCAAACCAAAGCTACCAATTATGTTTGATGACTTTATGCCAATGCTATAAGATTAAAACAGTAGGTTTATAGTACATGTTATGTTTTATTAATTTCACCTATCAATGAGGATTGCATCCACCAATAAAAAATGTTTTCAAGAGTTTTGTTTTAAATGTATATTTATTTGAATTTGAGCTTTTATGTTTCACAAAACATATAAAATCACAAATTAGCTTTAAAAATAGTCGTTTCCAGATATTTTGAAGGAAAGCACAGGTCAGAAGTTTGGAGATCAGTCTAACCTTGACACAAAAACAATCCTGGAGAGCGAGTTTACACAATTTTGTGTCCTTTTTTTTCTGTGCAGTGCAACAGTTGCTAGCAGGATACTGCTTAGCAAAGGCAGTTGAAAACAAACAGTCAGCATTTCCCTCCTGCTACACCAAAAACCTTTCTCTGTATTTTTGCAAAAGTTTTTAACTCAATGGCAAAACACGACAGAAGGCATCGTCAATCCTTTGACTTCTCCGTCTCTCTCCCTCACTTATTTGATTTCATTCTCATTATGAAAGACATGATATGGGCAGTGTTACCAGCTCTCAGGCTTCTGGCCTATGACACATGACTCACACCCAAAATAAATCTCACACCAGATAATGGGAAGAATCAAAGGCACTGCTTTATTTCAATTTCTTTCTTAGTCTTACCATCAGCTTTGGTGTATCTGCTGGTACGCAAACACTAGAGAACTGAAAACAGTGTTTGATTTGCCTGAGGCGCACAACCTCTCAGTGAGAGACGATTAATGAGTTTCTCTGCTGAGCCTTGTCCCCATTTGACCAAACATTAACAGGGACTGAACCTATTTTTGTTGTTTCCAGCTGTTTGAGTTTATTAAATCCCTGAAGCTTGTTAGGATCCATAGAGTATGTCTCCAAAGCAAGAAAATTGCAAACATCTTTACATATATTTACACTTTCACCTCAAGACTTTGTAAAGTAAAAAAAAAAAACCTGACTCCACACGAAAGCTGGCAACCCTGATATAAGGTAGAAATTAGAAGGACTTGGGAACCTTTCATTACACCTAGAGTAACATGAAGATTCATGCCTATAGTGATTGCTATAAGTGCATCATTTTGCCTAGAGTTGAAACATGTTGAATTCTAAAAAAATGAGCTATGTCTATGGTCTCAACACCTTTAATCAAAAGCAAGATGAAAATGTCCAAAAATATACATTTGGGGTAGCCGAAGGGACATATTCATTCTGAACTATGTGAAATCCATGTTAGCTTTTGATTTAGGCCACAAAATGCTGAAACTTCAACCCAGTGGGCCATGGCTCCTCTCTGGGATTAGCAGGTTATTGTAACAGTCACAGTGATTGTGGTATCTGGTGGATGTAATTGCACTTGTGTTTTGTGACGTGTGGACATACTTATTTGACTGTTTAAAGCGTTAATGTTAAGAGACACTGGAGACCTTCATAAGTTACATGCAGCCTATTGTCCTCCAACATGGAATTATTAGGTTACAAGGTAATTATTTCATATTATAGAGAAGTAAAGCCTTAATTATACTGCTTGCATGGGTGAAAAGCTATGCTTTGTGCATGTCTAAAGCTGACATTTCTCTTATTTGTCTGGGCAGCCTGCACACTCAGATCAATTCGAATCTCACTAACAACATCAAGGCCATGGTACTCTTTGATTCTGGATTCAGTCTTCACATCAGTAAACTCTCCTCTTTTCACCATCTAAAAATACCAAGATTTAACCAGATTTGTGTTGCTTCTCAATTCTCTGTCTCATCACGACTGGATTACAACACAGGACTTTTATTAGTCAGAAATTACTCAGGGGGCTTCAGCTAATTGTTGGAGCAGGGAATCACATTACAGCACCAGTACACTGCTTACAAATTTGTTTTAGGACTGATTTTATGGATTACATTTAAGGCTTTTTGTGGCCAGACTCCAAACTATATTTCAGAGGTGCTCTGCCCTGTCAGCCAGTCACAGCCTGACAGACGGGAACTGCTGTCTGTTCATGGGCCCTTACAGTTATTATATTTGACATTACTATTATTAATTTTTTTACCGTATGTTTTTGTTTGTTTGCTTTTCCCATTTGCAAAACCCTAATTTAAAAATGAACATCATTAAGGTATTATTAATAACCCATAGAGAGAGGCTCCTTTTTTAGCTCCTATTCCAAGATTGGTTCTGGCACAAGACGAAGCCAGTGAAAACTGAGTACAAATGTGAGGAATGCAGCAACAGCAATACAAGACAGTAAAGGACCATGCTGATTGCATGTGCTTCACACGATACAGTTTTTCAATTCAGTTCAATTCAATTTTATTTATATAGTGCCAAATCACAACAAGAGCTGGTAGATTTATATTGTAAAGCAGATACAGAGAAAATCCCAACAATCATATGATCCCCTATGAGCAAGCACTTTGGCAACAGTGGGAAGGAAAAACTCCCTTTTAACAGGAAGAAACCTCCGGCAGAACCAGGCTCAGGGAGGGGCGGCCATCTGCTGCGACTGGTTGGGGTGGGAGATGGAAGACATGATAAAGACATGCTGTGGAAGAGAGACAGAGATTAATAACAGATGTGATTCAATGCAGAGGGTCTATTAATACATAGTGATTGAGAAAGGTGACTGGAAAGTAAAAACTCAATGCATCATGGGAATCCCCGGCAGCCTATGTCTATTGCAGCATAACTAAGGGAGGATTCAGAGTCACCTGGTCCAGCCCTAACTATATGCTTATAGGTCTGATTATTTAAGACCTTGTATGTGAGGAGCAGGATTTTGAATTCAACAAGAAGCCAATACAGGAGAAATATGCTCTCTCTTTCTAGTCCCTGTCAGGACTCTTGCTGCAGAATTTTGGATTAGCTGAAGGCTTTTCAGCGAGTTTTTTGGACTTCCTGATAATAACGAATTGCAGTAGTCCAGCCTGGAAGTAATAAATGCATGAACTAGTTTTTCAGCATCACTCTGAGACAGGATATTTCTAACTTTAGAGATGTTGCGCAAATGAAAGAAAACAGTCTTACATATTTGTTTAATATGTGCATTGAAGGACATATCCTGGTCAAAAATGACTCCAAGGTTCCTCACAGGGTTACTGGAGGTAACAAGGTAATGCCATCCAGAGTAGGAATCTGGTTAGATACCATATTTCTAAGATTTCCAGGGCCGAGTACAATAACCTCAGTTTTATCTGAATTAAGAAGCAGAAAGTTAGCGGCCATCCAGGTCTTTATGTCTTTAAGACATTCCTGCAGTTTAACTAATTGGTGTGTGTTATCTGGCTTCATGGACAGATAGAGCTGGGTGTCATCTGCATAGCAGTGAAAATGTATGCTATGTCTTCTAATGATGCTGCCTAAGGGAAGCATGTATAATGTAAACAGAATTGGTCCTAGCACTGAACTAAAGTTTTGTTGGTATAGAAGATTTATGTGGCAAGTGAGCCAGTTGCCCGCTGGTTATCAAGCCTGAACCCTTCAGTTGAATGATGTCACCATCTTAGGTCATTAAAACCAGCCATTATGACAGAAGGACACTCTACATTGAATAGCAGTTTGCCACTTAAAAGGTAAGCCAACCCTGTGGAACAGCCATTGATAGAAAAGGATAAACATAGGAACAGAGATGTCACCCACTTGTTTGTAAAGTCATGCTTTGGAGCCTTGAGATTAACTTTTGTACCAATCATGGTGTCTTGAAACTGGATGTGATGAGAGGAACTATGAAACCTCATTCAATCGTCAATTACAAGTCCGTAGCCAATAAGCCAAGTATGAAAAATGTCCACTTGTATAGGACCAGAAGTCGTTTTGCAACTACATATATTGCCCCCTAGTGGCCATGGAAAAAAAATCCAGGTTTGAAGGACGTACACCATAGTTGATAATAGTCACATAATAGTCACACCCAGCTTTATCATCTGTCTGGACATGAATCAGTTCAAAATAAAGTTTATGTTGTATTTGATAAGAATGCATGTCAGTGACTGAGCCTGTAAATTCACCAGGAAGTGTTTACTGAGGTCACAGACTGGGCCTTACTTTGGTAATGGCTTCACTTGCCAGACCTGGAGCTTTACTGTACGTTCAGTGCCTGTGCCACATGTAGCATAGTCTGAACGATAGAAGATGATGTAACAACCAAGTTTTTTCTTCCGCATCTTCTGCAATTTGATGTTTTGTCCTTTATCTGTAGTCATTAATTTTATTTGCTCCTTCATGCACTATTAACCCAAAGGTTAGACATTCTAATAATGCCTATATGTTGCTGATGATGCCTCTACAGGCCCACACTTTTCAGCCGTGATAAGGTAATGATCTTAAAAAATCAATCAGAAATAAGACTTTTTAAATTTTTCTTTTCAGTTATGATAATCAAGCAGTTAAACAACAATTTTCCCATTTTCCCTTTGCCTGACCAATAAATAAATAAATAAAAAGCTGAAATATATATCTGTTCATTCATTTTCTTTGCTTGCAGCTTCAGCACAGAGCATTTTTGCAGTGTGTGTGTGCGTCAGTAACACACACACAGTCGGTGTCAGTGAGTGAGGATAAATCAGCATCAGGCAGCATCACTGTAATTAGATGCCTACAGGTGTGGGTGACTATTGGGTTTGTGAACTCCTTGTTTCAGGCATTCTCATCATCATCCGAGGGAAGTGCAGTGCTCCTGTGGGATTCAGTGCCAGAGAAATGAAAAATGTCTTCTGTTCTGCACTTGCAAAGTCAAACATGAAAATGTGGGAAGCACTAGTGGTGTGGCTCTTTCCTCAGACAGTTTCACTGGTGATCCTTGTGGGAGCTTGTAGGCAGAAAACACACCAATGCTGTTATCATTTCTTCATAATAAAAGTATTCTCAGTTGGTGTCTTTGCATCAAATGCTTCTTTTGATCACTTTCTAGAACAGTTTTCCAAACTAAAACATAATTGGAGCAGTTTTCTTATGCTTGATTAGCTTATGATGCTTTTTGGAAAAATGTGAGTTCATCCTCCAGCAGCCGCAGCGTGTTATCACTTAGTGACTTTATTTTCTTCTAAAATGTACACACACATTATGCCCAGTAGTACATGTTAAATAATTGTTATTCACAGCTTCTTATCCTCGGTGCTGTGTTGTGCATTTCTCTGATCACCCCCTATGGTATAGGGGGTGATCACAGTTTGATCTAATATGCTGAGTAATATAAAGGCTGCTCTGTAATTGGCCAAACAACCCAGTGTTAGAGAATTTAAAAGGCTAAAGCTTGGGGAAAATGAAAAGCCAGTGATTATTCTAGGGCTTGTGGTAAATGAAGCTCATAACGAGCAAGGCAGAGTGCTAGACAACTGGGAACGCTCAGCGTTCCAAACAAAGCATTGGAATTCAGCCCTCTAGAGCCTGGAGGAGAAATGAAGTACTGTTAGGGCACAGAGTAGACCTTGGTTTGGCATTATGCTCTACATTATGCAAAAACTGGAGAACATTTCTTAATGCAGCGTAATCTCTAGCTCATGAAGAAGCTGCTTCTTTTAATCGTTCTATATAATGGATGCATTTATGAATTTTCTGTCACCCTAAAGCCTTTCAGCTGATGTGACCTCATCATGACCTGCCCTTCGAGACACACAGGATGTGCGTTTATGAGAAAATAGCCTTGGAAAAATGGGCAGTGAGCAATCTGCCACCTGTGCACTCACAATTCCACCAAGGTAAAAGGAAAAGGGCTTGCTGAGAGCTGCTGGGGAGACACTGTGCAGCCCACTGGGCGGTTAACAATTTTGGTGTATTTTAATTGTCAAATTTAAAAACTTTGTGTTTGGCTGAATGTCGGTTGCAAAGAAAAAGGAATTCTGTATGGCAGCATAGGATTGCTAGTCTGTAGCATGACTTCGGAAACAATAAGAGGAAGCGAGTGAAGACAGAGGCCAGGATTAAATGATGAAGAAAAGCAATTGTAGATGGACTGCCACTTATATAACACTTTTATACTCAATTTGAGTAAGTGCTTTTATCGAACACACACACACAGTGATAGGTCGGGGGGTAATTTGGGGTTCAGTATCTTGCCCAGAGATAAGTTGAGGAGCTGGGGATCAATCCACTGACCTTCCATTTGCTAGGCTACCTGTTCTACCACCTGAGCCAAAGCTGCCTAAAAAGGCAAATGTATAAAGTACATGGGAAAGACAGAAGTGGTAATGGCAAAAGTAAGGCTTATACTGAGCTGTATGTGAGACTGGAAACTAAGGAGCGAGAAAAGGAATTGTATTGATTGGCTGGGCAGAGAGATCGAGCAGGAAAGGATGTGGAGTGGGTTAGAGTGATTAAAGACAAAGATGGAAAAGTACTAATGAGTGAAGAGTTTGGTGAGAAATAGAAAGAGTACTTTGATGAGCTGATGAATGTAGAAAATGAGAGACAAAGGAGGAGGGATGGTTCATATATCATGAAGTGCAGAGGATTAGAAAGGAGTGAGGGCAGCTGTGAGGATGAAGAGTAGAAAGTAGTTTCCAGATGTGGAGGTGTCTAGGAGAGAGGGCCGTGGAATTTTTTTAACACAGTCTTGGGAGAGTGAGAGCATAGCTGAGGAACGGAGAAGTGTGCTGGTGCTGATCTTCAAGAACAAGAAGGATGTGCAGAGCTGTAGCATCAACAGAGTGATCAAAGATATGAGAATGAGCTGCTAAAGCTAAGTTAACCCTTTAAAGCCAAGTGTGCCATATTTGATCACATGACTTTTTGAGACGTTTACATCATCAGTGTAATTTTACCCATCGAACCAGACTAAATGTTTACTCTTTGGTTTGGGGAAATGCTTTTCACGCAGCAAAATAAAACTTTTGTGCAATTCTGACAAAATTCTGAATTTCACTCAGGATTCTAAACTGTTCCGTAACGTTCAAAAATATTCTTTTTTTTTATTCATTCATGCTGGTGGGTATTGACAATTAAACTGTTATTCACTTAGAAATGGGTGAAAAATTCAATTAAAAATGAAAATCCATTTTCTGACTATGCCTGTCTCTGCCTATCAAACAGAACTGAGGTTCCATGAAGCCACAGCACAACAGGATATTACAAATAGATACATCATACAGCTGAGACTTCATTCATCTAAGCTGAAGGTCACATCACTGAGGGAGATTATTAATTAATTATGCTATTTTTTTATTACATTTGCATGTGGACAGAGATATTATTGCTGTACATCAGGCTAGAACTCTACCAATCCACCATAAAAGAGCTTCTATAGCACTGTTATATTCCCCAGGAGTGGTTGACCAACAAAGAACAGTATAAGAGCGTGGCATGTAATACTGTGCAGGGTCTCCAGTGTATAATGTAAACAACT